ATTTGCTATAAATTACCGAAGGCACGACAATTTGGGACGAGTGATATTACTAGTGAAAGCTATCAATGACATGCACATCACAATTCGTTATTCGATACATTAGTTTTTTTAATTTTTAATGCATTAAATAACAAACTGTCATATATATATCACGTAAAATAATTATCGGTTGTCTTCACTGTGAATGACATTATTCATTTGGGACGGGAAGAGCAAGCAAATAGATTTAATTACACCCTACTTCCCTAAAATACAACAAAAATGTCACTCGGCCAAGTATTCAAACACAACAATTTGGGATACCAAAAAATGCAAAAAGATAACAAATACAAGAATTACACATTATCATCCTAAAATACAGCAAAATTGTCACTCTGAATTTATAGCCAAGTATTCCCAGCACACCAATTTGGAACAAGAAAAAAAAAAGGAATTCAAATGTATGAATCACGTATTACTTCCATAATATATAAACCAAAATGTCAACCCGAATTTACAGCCAACTTGTGGCTTTAGCAACACCACCAGCACACTAATTGTTCTAGCTCGAGAGCATATCTTTGTCCCGTCAATTAGAAGTTGCAATTTAAGCTCCATCTATGATTTGCCAGAACACGTGTAATGCTTTGATCTTGCAAGGTTGACAAAATTCCAAGCATCGTATGCATATTAGTGTACATGTTTTCGATTTTGCTGAAGACGGGAAATGTTCTGATAACTAGACAGAGTATAGGTCGACTCCTGTATACACCATTACAAGATTAAGACATGCCAAAGAAAATGATTATCACAATTCAGTTAGATAGGAATTTAATTCACAAAAAGTCCTTCTCTAAGAACACGGACAAAATCAAATAAATCTATCTTTTTCTTTAATAAAAGATAAGGATTAAAATGCACAAGAAACGTGGCCCAAGAGAAAACATGGAAAAAAGCTAAGTGCACAATGAAGGCATTAGAATAGTGTATGTAGCTCATTCAAAGTAATTTGGAAGATTTATCTTCAGTTACACATTTAAGGAAACATCTTTCAGCAGAAAAGGGATGTCATATTATCGAAACGACTATTCCAAGAATGAAGTATGATGGAATGGAAATCCGTACTTGCTAAATTCCTAAACAAGCAGTTCTCACCATCTGAAATAATGTTCCACATCCAGATAAGTTATACAGATACAATACTATTTTAATAGAAAATTTTCGAGATCGGTGACACGGACCATTGACAATACTAGTTGATTTTCTTTAGCAAAGCAGACAAACATAATTATTGTCAGTCAAAGTAGATTTTCCAACTAATAACGATGTCACCAATGATTCATATGACTTAAGCAAAGAAGTCAGTAAAATTATCATCTTATCTTCACGCTCAATTTTAACATCAATATTAAGCAACTCAGTCACACACTTAATAAATTTGTTTAGATGATCACTAACATCAGAATCCTCATCCTTATTCAAAATCATATATTTGTGATAAGTGTATTTTCTACACTTATTTGGGATTTGAAACTATAGAATTTTATTGTTCTTTTGGCAAAATATGACCTAAATTGTGTCATATTGCATCTTGTAGGTAAAACTCGACATTTGATGAATAATTGAAGAAAAAGAAGCAAAATGTAATGAAAAATGGCGAAATCCAAAGTTTGAGGATTAAATTGCAAATACTCAATGGTTGATTCGGACCTCAAGAAGATACTTTAAAAATTGTTAGGAGACAATTGGATGGAATTAGAATTCAAAAAGGAATGGAATATGATCAAAATATTATCAAAGTCAATTTTCAATCGCATAAGATATATTCCAGATTTTTAGCCGAAAATTAAAACTCATGTTTGGCATAGTAAACATCCGAATTGAAAACACTCTATCTCTGGAAAAGTTGTAGCCCTTTGAGTTATCTTTCCAACGCACTTTGAATAGTCTCAATCAGATTTTAGGAGAGAAAGTTATGATTGAAATATGGATTGCTATGCAGAAACAAAAAAATCTGTGCGCGAAGGCAACTTCCTTATTTGATTAGAACTCTTTTAGAAATCAATTTGGATGTGATTTTCAATCAATTTTCGACTCCTACAAATAGAGAATAGCATAATACATATGGAGGACCTCCCTGGACCTAAAAATCTCTACATTATACATATTTTGGAGGCGAAGAACATGGCTAACAACGTGGAATCAAGGCAAATTGTATAGGATATTGAAAATTCTTTATCCGGATTCAAGATTCACATCAGGAACGTGGAAAATTCTTAATTCTTCATTATCTCTTCTTTTCAAGTGATGATTTTCCAATTGTTCGTTTGTAATTTAATTTTAAATATGTTAGGCTAGTTTTTCAATTGTATTGGATGAATGTTTGAACCCTATTTTTATTTATTTTAATTCAAGATATCAGTTTAGTATTTTTATGTTATTATTGGATTGATTTTACATACCCATTACACTACTTATTGCTTGATCACCAATTAAGTAGTTAGTTGCTTGTTGTAGTGTAGGAATACTCACAATAAGTCTAGAACGCGGTAAAATCGTCATGTGTAGTTAGAATTAGGAATAATCTCTTTCACACATGCAATCTTATTGATAATTTAAACCAAATGCGTGACTTTCATATGAATTCGAATTAGGAATATGATCGTCTCGTGTTAGTCATATGTTTGTTGTATCTTGGAAAAGAACATTTAATATATTAGCTTTATTGATTGTCAAAAATGCATGAATTGAATAGAATGATTATTGAGAATTGAAATAAGTGGAAATAGAGGGATACATGAATCCAATACAAGCATTCACATTAGGTTTAATCACTTTTTTTTATCACTTTCTTAGAGTAGAAATATAATAAATAACAAATAAATCACAACTCTTTTGATGTCATTATACTTCGAATTTAATAGTAGCTACTGAACTACAAATTAGACCTTATTTCTCGTGAGAACGATACTCGTGACTCACATATTTTATTACTTGTACAACGATCATGTACGCTTGCGGGTTTCACGCGAACAAGTTTTTGGATTGCATCTTCAAATACAGCATATTTGTTAGGGACATAGACACATAGAACTCTTCTAACATTTTCTAGAATTTAGAAGGAGATTCCTTATTCAAGACATTATAATTTAAGTTGGGTGCAAGACCGAATTTGATTGTACAAATATTTTTGCTTCTAATACTTCCCACTTTACAACTTTCATAACTTCTAGCATCTTACCTTCCAATGCCTATAAAGTACTTGTTGCATGAGAACATCTTGCAAAATGCTACGCCATTCATTAAAACTATTTTTCCAATCACTCAAACTGAAAACTCGTAATCGTCTTTACAGTAATTTCAAAGTTTGAAGTGTGAGCTTTGATACTAGTTTTAAGTGCACTTAACTCTTTACTTGAATCTCTAACAGTTTTCTCTCCGAATTCTCACAATTTTAGATGTATGTAACTCTCAACCTGAATTCACGCTATCTTGATGCAATACACAATTATTCTCATGCCACGAAGTTATAGAAAAGACCCCTGAATTGTTACGATAAATTTCTTTTTCTTATTTCATTAATAGTCATTTTCCTAATTGCAAAAATATTCTCTTTTCCAACACAATTTTTCTATAAATAACTATATTGGTCCATTTTCTTAATATAAAAAAAAAATTCTTTTAGCTTATTGCAAATATGCAAAGTAATCAGGTATGGAGATTTTCTATTTCAAATTCAATCACATAAGAGGAAACCAATAATACTCATTCTTGGTAGTAAAGGAGGAAGCAGAGAAGGCAAATGACAATCCAGCAACTACATAAACGAATACAACAAAAAACTAAAAATATACTCATTCCTCCTCTTGCAGCCAAGCAAGCCGACCCATTGTTCCTTTCCCCGAACATCACCATCATCATCATCACCACCACAACCGTCGTCGCCACCAAATCTTCTCCGGATAGCTGCTTATAAGAGCAAATCAATACATCCTTCATAAACATATTGATATAAAGTGGTCCAAGCGCTGCAGTTGGGGTAATTGAATTAGGCCTGAAAAACTTCTCTGCCTAATGAATTAGTATAAGATCTGAAGCTATCATGCAAAAGAAAAAAGGAAATGAAGGGAAGAAAAGGTGGAAAACGTGCGGCAGGGAAAATGTGTCGTTATGATAGTTAAAATGTGGTATAACTAATTAAGACTAGCAAGAGAGACACAAAATAGCATCAACAAGCATAATTAGTTGATTTTAAATGCTTGAAGAAAACATCATGATATACATAAAAGTTCTTCAGGTTTCCAAAAAAGACACAACCTTTTCAGATTCGCAAGTTACGTGAGAAATGAGAGAGTAAGTTCATGAAGAGAATCTAACCATATAAACCAAACTGTAGAGGAAACAACGCGAAAAAAATCATAAAATATTTGCAAATAATAATAATAATAAGTAAAAGATGCAGCAACGTGAAACTGTAATACACCAACATTATTGCTGGTAACACCCTGAAAACTAGTGCCACAACAGCTACAACACAAAATACTAGCTCATGGGAAGAATTATTGAAGGAAAGATATAAATGTTTATAAAAAGAGGAAGAACAGTAACAGTGCAATTGATCTGTTTATGAATCAGAAACACAGGGCCAAAGAAACAAGTGTAGCTCTGAAACACAATGGGATAGAGGGAAGAGTACCCATCCACCTTATCAAACAAAGAGCCAAATGTATTCTTTATATTTACTGGGTGCGATACCGCAACACCATCATGACTTCTTTAGTTCCCAATTCCAACATTGACATTTATGCCCTGTTTGTTTCGGATTAAAATCAGATTTTAATCCAAGTCAAAGTCAAATAATCAATATTAACCACAACTTTTCAACCACACCATTCAAAAACTTATATCACAGTCTACTAAAAATCTAATTTTAATCCCCACCAAACGCCAACTTAATCAGTTCAAGTCCCCACAAAGCTCATCGGCATTTATATCTTCCAGTTTTTATCATTGGCATAACATTAAGCCTTCACAGGTTCATCATCATCATCCTCAATATCCCAACTCAAATCTTCATCTTCTTCTGCAATGCTCAACCGATTCCTCAACTCAGCTTTGTTCAGGCTCCCACCATGAGTGGTACTAATTTTCTTTTCATCATGTCTCTCAATATCTTCGATCTCATCCCACTCCAAATCCTCCTCTGCAACAGATTAATGACTTGATACCGTGTTTTCTTTACCAGCATCACTCTTTTCACCCTTTGCCTCCTCATCAACCTTCTCCTTTGACTTCACTTTCTCATCAACTTTCACTTCAATTATTTCTTGAGACTTTGCATTCTCATTGGACAATTTGTCCCTACTCTTCTTGCTCATGTCAAATGCATTGTTCTTGTCAACATTATCCACAATTGAATGATCTTCTTCCTCCTTATTTTGCAACTCATTGCTAGGATCCTCTTTTTTCTCAATGTAGCTCAAATTCTTATCATTATTATCTTCATTTCTTGATTCATCTTTATGTTCTTCTTTTACATTACCCTTTTTGTTCCCATCCATTATCCTCCCCATCGTCATCAACATCCCAAGATAATTCCTCATCATTGTCAACAGAAATTGCCCGCTTAACAAGATTAGCCCTTACGCTCTCTTTCTGCTTGAGCTTATGCACTTTATGGAATTACCTACACCAAAATGTCTCATGATCAACAGTGGCCTTTTGCTCTCCCATTTTCTCCAATTAGCCCCTCAACTTCACTGCTCTTCTCCACTAATGTGAACCCTGAGTCCACTTCTGATACTCCTCCACCTTCTTGTTTTTGCTGAAAGTGTTCCATCAGACTGGATTCCATTCAATTGGGCATCAAACCGGCTGTATTGACCCGAACTCAAGCTCTTATTAATGTCAAACAGGTTGTCTCCAAATAAACCCTTCCCATTCTCACCATAGCTACATAGAATTATTATCCCTCAATCTTCAAATCAAAATTCATGAATACGACACAATAATTAAAAGGAAATGAAATAAAGTTCCAAGATTAGTTAAAAAAATAAATCAAATTAAAGTGGAGTTCAAAAACTCGTTACAAGGTAATATTTGAGGAAAATATAAGGTTTTAGAATGAACTAAAATCGATCAGAATTTGAGGGAAATTTCCTAGAGAGAGAACAAAAAAAGTAGAAGACAACAATTAAATGATATTTCTAAAGCATTGAACCTTAGCCGATTTCGAGCACTTGTAAAGAGACTAGAGGCTAACCAATAGGTTAGAAGAAGTAGGTTATGACTGAACCGATAGAATCACAAGGAGGATGATCGAATGGGAGGGAAATTTCTCATCCTGTCTAACAATTGGAATGAGGATAAGAAACTTGGTCCATGACAACCCTCTCCAAATTCGCTACCAATTATCTAATGCACAACAATTTGGGATGGGAAGAGCATGCAAATAGATTTCGAATGTATGAATTCAGGGAATTTTGGATGCCTTGTGCAATATTTTAAAATGGTGCCTTTTATGAAATTAAAAAATATATTTTAAAAAATTATATTTCAATAATATTATTTCATTTCAAAATTGTGACATTTAGATATTGTTTATTTATTTTTTTAAATATCGTGAATAAGAAAGTACAAGTAAAATTCAAAAGCACCTCCTGAACTTCATCAAAATTCATATGACATCAACAAAGAACCATCTAGGCCACTAAACTCTTCGTGTAATTCCATATAAGCAAACCTTAAAATCAAAAATATCAAATACCATGTGCAAACCTTGAAACACAACAAATATATGCTTGCTTCTCACATTTCTAGAAGCAAACTTACTAATTAAACTTTCATAATCAATATGTTCTCCCAAATCTTGTTCAATAAATATTAAAGTTAGGTCATTCAATCGTTCTTATAACATGATTTATCGTCAATAAGATTTAATAACTTCAATTTTGAAAAAAACTTCTTTCGACAGATGCAATAGTAACAAGAATTGTCAATAACATTCTATAAGCAATAAATGTAATTGAAAAGCATCTTTCAAATAAGTCAATATATCAAAAGTTGTCTTTGTTTCTTTTGATAAAAGATTTTACAAAATTTTTAACTCTTAAAATAAATTTTCACCATCAAGATTGCTAAAATTTGTATGTTTTAGAACAATGTTTAGATGATCACAACATGCTTTCAAATTAGCATCATCCAATGAATTTAATTTGTCAGAAGAAAATAGAAACCTAGTTTTTTCATATTAATTGAATTGATCAAACTTTTGTTCAAGTGATCCAATTGCTTGATCTACTATATAAAGGAAATAATAAGTTATGACAGAATCTTCATGTGATTGTGCGTTGATTGTAGTGACATTTTCATCAAAATGTCTCTCCTACGAATTATACTAATTGAATTGAATTGATCGAACTTTCGTTCAAGTGTTCTAATTGCTTGATCTACTATATAAAGGAAATAATTGACTATGAAAGAATCTTCAAAGTGATTATGTATCCTCTACAGAAATATTTTCATCTAAATGTTTGTTCCTACGAATTATACTTTTTCATCTTTTCCCTCACATTATTTAAGGGAAAATACTATTTAAGAAAATTATAACTAGTCAATCACATTGTTCTTAGCTTTAGTTTTTTATGCAATTGTATATCATACCAACTCAAATGCCTACAATTAATAAAGAAATAATCCATAAATGAAAATAGTTAAGCACGAGACATTGAAATTAGCTATGGAGCCTAAACCATATGAATCATTTCCCTTGATTTAATTAAAATTTCTTTGTATGATACACAATTAAGAATTAGAAATACAGTAATGTTAAATAAAAATCATTATTCGTCTATTTTTTAATTTTTTTTCATAAATATTGTGCTCTTTAGCTTAACATAATAATTAAAATTTTAAATTTTGAAATTAAAAATATATAATAATACACATATAACAAAAAAAATAATTGTGTATCTACAATGCTGAGGTCCTGTGCGGTCGCTCAATACGCGCACCCTCAAGGCCGCCTCTGTATGAATTTGATAGGAACATAATTATAAGACGAAAATAGAGGCAAAATAGGAATATTTATTAGCTGCAAAGTCTTGATACAAATACAACTGAAATTCATGTCCAATCCGAGAGGACAAATCTCCAATAAGAAATTCAAATGACAATTCAAGATACTAAAACCAAAAGAATCCCAATGATATTTATAGTACATATCCTGCCGTATTATTTGCTAACAAACATAACTAAGTTCCTAGAAAATAGGAGATAATGTGGAGAGTATGTTGGAACATGCAGGTAATTATGGAAGGAGTTGGAACTATTCTTCAGCTACATCTTCATCGTGCAGACCAAGCAACTGAAGCAGCTGGAACTGGTCTTCTGCCATCTGCTCCTTGTCACGTGCTCTCCCTTTTTTTCTCGAATATACCCCGCAAGGGTGGAACCATATCAGTACTTTCCCCCTAGAAACTCGACGTGTCCTCAAGGCGAAAAAGAGGGAAAGTGACCAGCCAGAAGATCATAATTTTCCCAGTTAGCCTCTTCAAGAGGCCAACCTTCCCATTGAATTAACAGTTCCAAAGTAGGAACACCAGCTTCCTTAACCCAACGATGCTAATGAGTTCCCAATTAGAAGTAATGGGAAGGGGAACCGGTGAACAAGCTGGTGTTTGTCCCAGAGCTGGACGAAGTAGCGAAACATGGAAGATGGGGTGGACTTTAGAAGAAGCTGGAAATTCATACACTATCGGTCCAACACGCCGAAGAACTTTGTAGGGGCCAAAAAATCTGGGAGAAAGTTTCTCATACCGTCGTTTAGCAAGTGAGAGTTGGCGATACGGTTGAATTCTTAACAAGATAGAGTCACCAACATTGAAACTTAGCTCCCTTCGTTTGGAATCAGCTTGTGCTTTCATTCGTGATTGAGCCTTCGAGATATTTTCTCTCAAAAGTTTCAGAATGTCATCACGAAGAATAAGTTGTTCTTCTAGCTCAGCAAGGTGTGTTTCTCCTGGATCATAGGGATGGTGTGGTGGAGGATCTCTCCCATAGACAATCTTAAAAGGGGTGGTTCATGTGGAAGTGTAAAAGCCAGTATTGAAAGAATATTCAGCCCAAGGAAGAAATGTACTCCATTCAGTAGAGTGTTCATGAGCAAAGCAACGTAAATAAGTTTCTAAACCCCGGTTGACCACCTCGGTTTGGCCATCAGATTGAGGATGGTAACTAGTCCCTATTCTCAAGCGAGTTTTGCTTAATCTGAAAAGTTCCTGCTAGAAATTGCTGAGGAACATGACATCTCTATCCGGAAGGATAGACCTTAGGATGCCATGGAGTCGGACAATCTCCGTGCAGAAATGTTCAGCAACTATTTTCTCAGTAAATGGATGAGATAAAGGAATAAAATGTGCGTATTTACTGAGGTGATCTACTAACACCAAGATAGTATCAAACCTTTTAGATTTAGGAAGACCAACAATGAAGTCGAGAGAGATATCTTCCCATATTCTCTCCCGGTACAGGTAAAGCTTGCAGAAGACCAGCAGGAGCCAAAGCTTGGTATTTGTTCGGTTGACACGTTAAAACAATTTTGAACATAATGATTGACATCTTGCTTCAGACCCAGCCAAAAAAAATTGGAAGAAAGCCTATGGAGAGTCTTTAAGTATCCTCCATGACCCGCAAACAAAGAGTTATGAGATTCAGATAAAAGTGTCTGCCTCAACGGTGCATTGACAGGAATAACCAAACGATGCTTGTAATATAGTATTTGGTTTGCCACCTGACAGTCTAGATAAGTAGTGGAGTCTTTGGAGAGTGAGTTCATAATTTCACTGGTGTAAGGATCCATTTGAAGAGCTTCCTACAAATCCATAAAGTCTAATGAAACAGGAAGAGCCAAAGCGAGCAAGTCTGCATGTTGAGGACGTCGGGAAAGTGCATCTGCTCCTTTGTTTTCCTTTCCAGCCCTGTAAATGATAGAAAAATCAAAGGGGAGCAGCTTCATGAGGAGCCTTTGCTGCTCACTGGTGGTAACTCATTGCTCCAATAAGTATTTAAGACTATAATGGTCCGTTTTGACAAAGAAGTGGCTGCCCAGCAAGTAATGCTTCCACTTTTATAATGCCAGAACGAGAGCTAATAATTCTCTATCATAAGTGGATTTCAAACAATTGGAGAATGAGAATCCTTTGTTAAAATAAGCAATGGGGTGATCAGATTGAAGTAATATTGCTCCAATTCCTTCAGAAGATGCATCACATTCTATAGTAAATGGTTGACCAAAATCTCGTAGACCCAGTACAAGGACTGAAATTAATACCTGCTTGAGCTTTTGGAAAGCAGATTCAGCCTGTAGAGACCATTGGAAGCCATTCTTCCGTGTAAGATCTGTTAAGGGCCTTGCAATGACTCCATAATTCTTCACAAATATTCGGTAATACCCGATTAATCCCAAGAACCTACGTAGCTCCTTCACGTTGGTTGGAATGGGCCATTCAAGGACTGCCTGAATTTTCTTGAGGTCACCAGCTACGCCTTCAGTAGAAACCACGTCCCAACAAAAAAATTGGGTTTGACCAAACAAGCATTTTGAAGCTTTAGCATAATATTGGTTGTCTTGGCGAAGTTGTAAAGTGAGCTGTAAATGGTGAAGGTGCTGTTAAACTGTTGGGCTGTAGACCAGGATGTCATAAAAAAAAAAAAACAAAATGAATCTGCGGCGATATGGTCTGAAGAGGTCGTTCATGGCGGCCTGGAAGGTCGAATGAGCATTGATGAGACCAAACAGTATTACAATAAACTCGTAATGGCCAGAATAGGTGCGGAAGGCCGTTTTGGGGATATCAAGAGGATTGACTCGAATCTGTTGATAACCAGAGCGCAAGTCAATTTTGAAAATTGCCCCATGTAATTCATCAAGGAGTTCATCAATGTTGGGTATATGATATTTATCAAGAATGGTGATCTTGTTTAAGCTTCGATAATCAACACACATACGCCAAGAATTATCTTTCTTCTTGACTAGGAAGACGGGACTGGCAAAGAGGCTAGTACTTGGGAGTATAAAACCTAATCGTAATAATTCAGAAACCCGATTTTCAATTTTAGATATGGATAACGATAAGGTCTAATATTCGGGGGTTTAGAATTTGGAAGTAAAGGGATATTGTGGGCATGGGAACGAAAGGGTGGTAGGGAATTTGGCTCTTGAAAGATGGATTCAAAATTATGAATTAAATTTTGAATATCTGAATTTTGAACAGTGGGAGTACCTGGTATGTCGCGCTCTTTGGATAAATAATGAAAGGTAGCTTCAGCATTTGCCTTATGAGGGACCCCCTGCAACTTACATTGCTTCCCATTAAGATGGAAAATGAGGAACATCTCATTCCAATTGTCTTGAATTGTGTTCAGAGAAGCTAGCCATTTGATACCCAAAACCAGGTCTGTAGCCCCAATTACGAACAAGTAGTAGTCTTGGATGATTATCAATTCGGGCAGCTGTACCGAAACATCTCGGCAAATGCGATTGCACTTGATCAAATCCCCATTACCAATTTGAACCCCAAAAAGAATAAACTGGACAGGCAAATCAGCATCTTCCACAATCTTCTCCGCAATGAAATTATGTATCGAGTCGCTATCGATCAGAATTATTACTTGACATCCTCTTATGGTGCCCAACAGCTTCATTGTTGTACCCGATATCTTGCCCAATATAGCATGGAATGAAATTTCAACAAAGCCATCCGCTAAAGGTTCGTCGTCGTCCCCATTTGCGTCTTCTCCACCAGCTAAAAGATCGCCGTCTGTGAGTTCCCATAGAGACAAGCTTGAGGGCTTGCATTTATGACGTGGACCAAATTTCTCGTTACACCGAATACAGAGACCTTTAGCCAATCGATTCTACCTTTCAGCTTCCCATAATCTTTGTTGTAAAGGTTGGATTGAAGTGGGTATGGAAGAAAATTGGCCTCGTGTGGTTAGAGGAGGAGCTGAGGATGATGGTTGAGCACAAGCTGTGTGAGTGGAAAAAGGGATTTGGTTGGGTCGGCTGGAAGTGGTCCAATTGGGCCCCTTATTAGTGCGAGCTGGGCCTAATTTTGTCTCAAATTCAAGGGCCAAACTCATGGCCTTGTAGACTGATCTGGCCTTATGGATTCTAACGTCTGTTTTTAGTGGAAATTGCATGAAACCAGGCCTTTTCTATCAGGTTTTAAAAAAAATTAGATTTTCACCTTTTTTTTTCAGTTATC